AGCCGACTGAGAACCTGTGGGTGACGCTGGCCAAGGCCACTGGAACAGACACTTTTGTGCTTGGCCTTGTCCAGTGCCGGTAACCCTTTTCAAACGTGCCTGGTGGGTATTCCTGTGACTCTGGGAGAGGAATGGAACACCTTTGTATCACAAACCCAGAGTCTGGGATCACTGCCACTAAATTCTGCTACACTAGCACAGGTTGTTTCCGGTCAGGTTTTCACTGCGGATCCACCCCAAGAAATTGACCTCCTTGGTTCTCTCCCCACTAATAATTGTATCTTATTTAATGGTTACACAGAACCAAACCTATTCACACCCCTTAATTATCCGCTAACAAGCCAATTTACCAGGAAACCCCTTCGCTATGGTGTAACAACTCGATTGCAACCACGGTAGCTACAGAACATGTGCCGAGAAACATGGGACTTCCCAAAGGATTTTTCCTTCTGTGCGGGGATTGGGCATGGCAGGGTATTCCTGCCTACCTGGAAGGGGGTCCCTGCACAGTAGGAAAATTGGCACTTTTTAACCCAGCGAAATTCATATTATTGGATCAATCTTCTACCCCTAAGAATCGAGTTAAAAGATCCCTATCCTTTGCAATGGGCGCACCGCTTAGATTTCCTAAGCCAAAGAAAACAACACCATCCACTACCAGTCCAAAACCAAAAATTACTAATCCCCTTGCCATTGTGGCACCACGTGTGGATGCTGGAATTGTCACTCCGCCACCTCCCTTACCCTTCCCTGCGGATTGCGATTCCAACATCCACATCTGGTCCCGCATGAAAAACTTCTGGGCTTCCTTCCCGATCCCGAGGATAGGAACAGCCCATGCCCTATCCCTATTGACCAACCTTGGTTGCTGGCTGACCAAGGAAGCCAATGCCACCACCATAGCGATTGAAGGCCTGCTAGCAGATACTCAAAAATTAAAAGAAATCAGTTTACAAAATCATGCAGCCATTGACTTCTTACTCCTGGCACACGGACATGGGTGCCAGGAATTCGAAGGCATGTGCTGCATGAATTTTCGGATCATGTACAGTCGATTCATCAAAGTATCAATCAATTAAAGAATTTAGTTCAAGATATCCACCAATCCCGCAGTGAGGGGTTGGATGGATTGTTTGATTGGCTAAACCTTCCCTCACTTCCCAAATGGTCAAGAAAGATACTAATCTGAACCCTTTTGTGTGATGCTGAGTCCCCTTCCCTTTTCCCCTCAGGCCGTCTTGCCTGAGGCCACAGTCTTGCCTCTGCATGCAGGAAAACCTAATGTTGGCCAGATTTTGCCCATTGTCAAGTCCTCTTGATTCCTGTGGTTTCCTTCTTGACCAGCTTATGGTTACAACATGGATCAAATGAGACTTTCTGTCCAGTTTCTGGGCAAAATTCAGCACAGGTGCGCACAGCTGTGCAGAGTGCAGGGTCTCCTCTGCTCCAGCTAAATTCCAGCCCAAATTGCTCCCAATCCCAACATTTTCATTATTGAAGGAGAGCATCCCAGAGCAATGAACTCCACAGGCAGACTCGTGATCTTCAGAGGAAACCTCAGAGTTTGGGCAGCAGGCTTTGTCCATCCCAGGAGCTCACATCCCACACACTCACCAAGCAGTCCACAAGTGGAATGCAATGAGGACCTGTGGAAACAGCCCCCTCGGCCCGTCCTTGCTCCCACAACACTAAAATCTCTTCTGAACCCACTTAAACCCCGCTCTGCACCCCGGAGTGGGTGACCACTCTCTGTGAGCAGGATTTGTTCTCCCACACATGCTCAGACCTGTGGGGTGCTGGTGGCTTACCACCGCCCCACACACACTCCTTGCAAGGAATGAGGGAGCTGGGAGTGTTTAACCTGGAGAAGAGGAGGGTCAGGGGTGACCTATTTGGTCTCTACACTCCCTGACAGGACGTTGTAGCCAGGGGGGTGGTGTCAGTCTCTTCTCCCAGGCAACCAGTGACAGGACAAGAGAACACAGCCTTAAGCTGCACCAGAAGAGGTTTACGTTGGACATTAGGAAGAATTTCTTCACAGGAAGGGTGATTAGACATTGGAAGGGTGATTAGAAATTGGAATGCAATGCCCAGGGCAGTTGTGGTGTCACTGTCCCTGGAAGTGTTTAAGGAAAGACTGTTGCCCTGGTCTGGTTGACAAGGCGGTGTTCAGTCACAGGTTGGACTCAATGATCTTGGAGATCTTTTCCAACCTAATTGATTTTGTGATTCTGTGACTGGAGCAAATGTCCTTAACCTGAGACTGGGGATTCAAATCAGATATGAGAAAAAATTTTTTTCACTGTTAGGGTGGTGGGGCACTGGAATAGAGTGCTGGAGTCACCATCCCTGGAAGTGTTTAAGTGGCATCTGGATCTGGCACCGGGTGATGTGATTTAGGGGTTACAGTGGTGGTGATGGGTTGGACTGGATATTAAAGGTCTCGTCCAACCATGATGATTCAGTATGAAGGGACCAGACCCCCCACACACACCCACACGTGCAGAATGGGGTGGGGTGGAATTTGTGTCGCGACAATCGCGCCGCAACAGCGCGCGCGCCCGCGCGGGAACGCGCGTGGGATGCGGTGTTTGGGGGGGGCGCAGGAGGGGGGAGAAGCGGGAGGGGGCGGGAAGCGCGGAGAGGAGAGGCGGGAGGGGAAAAGGAGGGAAAAGGGAGGAAAAGGGGGGGGGTTAACCCCCCCGTGCCCGGCGGCGGCGGCATTTTCTATTCAGGCGGCGCTGAGGGAGCCCGGCGCGCCCGGTGCATTGTGGGACCGCGCTGGGAGTCCCGTTCGCGGGAGGAGGCGGAGGGCGAGGAGGCGGCGAGAGCCGGTGAGAGGGAGACCTGAGGAGGGAGGAGGAGGAGGAGGAGGAGGGGGGGG